TGATTCTACCTTTCCCTTTCACCCTGAAACGTCTGCGCTTCTGTGACAAGACTCTCCTAACCCATTCCTACTGCCTCCATCAAGATGTCATGAAGCTGGCCTGCTCTGACAACAAGGTCAATGTCATCTATGGCTTATTTGTGGCTCTCTCAGGTTTGCTGGATATAGGATTTATTTTCCTGTCTTATGTGTTGATACTGAAAGTAGTGTTGAGCATAGCGTCGCAGAAGGAAAGGCTCAAGGTCCTCAATACCTGCGTCTCCCACATCTGTGCTGTGCTTATCTTCTACGTGCCTGTGATCTCCCTGGCCATCATCCACCGGTTTGGCAAACACAGTTCTGTACTAATTAGGATCCTGTTGGCTGATGTTCTGCTCTTGGTGCCTCCGCTCATGAACCCCATTGTGTACTGCGTGAAGAGTCAGCAGATAAGGAAGCTGATCTTAGAGAAACTGTGTCCGCAGAAATGTTGACAGGAATGCTTAGCCACACAGCACCCAGCAAGCAATTGATACCAGAAAAATCATAGTGAAGCTACAGGTACCACATTATCTAGGAACTAATTCACACAATAATCTCTTAATACATCAATTAAATAATCAGCTTTGTGAGACTTATAATATTGGATATGAACTAAGGCCCCATCATAAACACTAACAATACTCTCTTCTAAAACATAACTATAACCCATTTTGTGAAAACAATTTTTCTTACATGTAAAAGCATATTAAATATATTTATTTGAAAATTGATAGCCTATATTTATATGGTATCTGGGGGATTAGCAGATACTAAACTGCCTCTTCACTTAACATTTCTATTCAGCATATAATTTTGCTCTGTATATGTTCCTGACACTCAAAAATGATAATTAATATGGGCAATGGAGAAATAAAACATGTAAAAACAGAAAAACATATATACCTGGAAAATTTAAATAATAAAAGAAACATCTTTTCATTTAATTATTTTATTGACAGAGGATAAATTTGAGTCTTTTGTCAGTAAATGATGCAACTAGAGAACATAAACTTAAGTGAAATAAATCACACCCACACGTGTGAACATCATATTGTCTCCTTAGTGTGAGAAAGTGAATGAGAAAAATGGATTCTGCAGGGTACAATAGACACAGGTAAAAGGGAATGAACTTGTTCATTCATTTTAATATTTAATGCCTGAGTTTAAAATGTCATCCTCCAAGCAATGTCATTCAGCTATGTCCTTGTTTTCTAGTATTCTGCAGGAGTTCTTCCTACAGACAAAGATTCTCTCTTAAACAGACTCTACTCCATCTTCTTTCACTTCTCCTCTCAAGGAGAGTTCTGCTTTTGGACTTTTGTGATAATCTCTACATTGTGTAATGTTAGTAAGAAACCTGTTAAATGCTTTTAAAAAGAACACTCCAACTCGCATTATTCTGTTACAATCGATACTTCAAAGTATTGCCATCTCTGCAGTTTGCCAGGTAATATATGATCATTGTAAGCTACCTTCTGCAGCATTCTTGCCATATCTGTTCAGCCAAAGTCTTATTTACTCATGAAAGTCCTCTTAGTAATTTTCTCTACACCGATTGTCCCTGCCAAATCTGCTCCTTGGCTAGAAATTCTATTTCTTCTTTATTTGTAGTTAAAGCTGATTTTTCTATAAAACCCCACTACAGTAGGCTTCTGTGCTTATTGTATGCATCTCATCAATAAAGTCTTCCTTAAAGTCCTTTCACAAATGTCAGGGGTATTTGTTTCTTTTACCACTCATGGTGCCAAGATTCAGATTTAGATCATGCTGAGAATGCAGCAGATCTGCACATTCAGACTAACTGGTCACTCTTCGACACCTTTTTCTTTGCTCTGTACTAATTGATTGGTGCTGAATGGGTGAGTCAGACTTTAGGATCATTGTCTAGGTAACATCCCATAGAACTGGGGTAAGGATAGTGCTTTGTGTTTTTGTTTTTGCCTATACTCTAGCATCTGTACTGGAATCCTAGGCATGGCAAAGCTGAATTTGAAGCCCAGGCTTCTTTCTCTGAAAGTGCACTGGCTGACCTGGAAGCCTTTCCTCCTGGCTACTTGTCTTGGATGGGTTATTCCCTAACTCATGGGCTGAATGTCTTTTCTGGCTCCTTGTTTTGAGGGAGGTCATTCCCTGACATCCACACTGGAATTTTTTTTCTCTGAATCCTTGTGAGGATGTTCTGCATTCTCCATTTCATTGTTGTTCCTCATTGAGATGTTTTCATTGCATGCCCCCTTCTCTTCTAGATGTTTTGCTCCATCACAGCTGACCATTGCCAACTTACTGGCATCCTTGGGAGAACAAACTGAAAATTCATTGATCTCCGTGCGAGTCTTGGGATTTCCATGAATGCTCTATGCAATTCTCCCTTCCTACTGTTTCTGCCTCTCTCTCTTTTTTTCTACTTACTTCTTTTTACTGGTGCTCCATCCATCCTTTAAACTCTTCCTATGCTTCTCATCACATCCATCTTGCCCATTCCTTCTGCAGCTCTGCCAGGTTTTCCTTCTTCACCTTAGTGCTCTCACTCTGGCTCACTAACATACCTGGTATGTTAGCACTCTTCACACACCAGGAGCTTGCAAGGCACTCAGGGACACTCATGCCAGCTACCTAAAGATGAGAGAGAAGGAAGGCAAATTTCAGTCTTATATTTTGTCCACACATGGGCTTTGGAGGCAGCCAGACAGCTGCCTGGCGTCTATTCAGACATTCACCTGAATTGCTGTGCCAATCTCCATAAGGGTATGTAGAGAACAAAAAAAAGTAACATCATTTTCATCAACTATTGGTTTCTTTACTCTGAAGTTATTATTTCATTTCCTCAACTTCTCCCTTTTTGCCAGAAATGTGATTTTGAAAAAAATATATAAAATTTAATAAAGATGAGATAAATATTTCAAAGCAACCAATATGTTTTGCATGACCGTGCTTTGTTAAGTCAACTCTGAAAATGTTTAAATGAAAGCTATAATGTCTGTATTTTCTTTTCTGTGCTTATTTTTGTGTATATTTGTATCCTATGATTATGTGGCATTTTTTGATCCCTGCCTGTTATTATCAAATTAAATTTGTTAAAGAAATTCTGGGAGGCAGGGAGATGGCTCAGTGAAATAAACACTTCCCAGCAAGTGTAAAGGCCTGAGTTCAATCCCCAATTCTGAAAAAAAAAAAAAAAGAAAGAAAGAAAGAAAGAAAAGAAAATAAATAAATAAATAAATAAATTCATTCTATTCAAAATGGTCTAAGAGGCCTCACTCCTGAAATGACCATCTGATCTGGGTAAGGTTAGCTATCAGTTGTTAGGCAGCCTAGTGTCATGTGTCATTAACTTCACAAAAGTGGAAATAAAAGACTGTTGTGGAAAAAAAAATATATATATACGTATACACAAGAGGGTTAAGATAGATATACAGCTACTTTCTCTTAGTTCATTGAAAATAAAAGTACGTATTAATATTGTTTAGACAAGATAATATGTCTGCATCTTGTTCTCTGAATAATGACTACTAAGACAACTATATGCAGTGTCTTAATTATTGTAACCATCCTACTAACCTGATTTGAAACTGTTTCATTGCTATTTTACCTTTCTTTTCTCATTAAAATGAATAAAAAAGACAAAGAGAGAAAATAAAACAAAAAATGAAACTAAATTTCAGAGAAATAAATTAATAACTATTTGAGAAAAAAGTGGCCTGAAATAAATTCATATCTATTGATCTTAAATATTGCCAATATTTCCAACATTATAGAAATTTACTCAAATGTTTTAAGCAAATGTTTGATAAGACTAATATCATAGTGTTGATTTAATAATAAAAACTGCTAGGTCTTCAGAGTTATCATTATTACATATAATACAGGCAATAATTTAGGGGTTTTTTTTTTGTGTGTGTGTGTGTGGTACCAGGTATTGAACTCAGGACCCTGCACTTGGCAGGCAAGTGCTTATTCTACTGAGCTATCTCCCTGGCCCCTAGTATTTAGTTAATAGGTTAATTAATTGAGTTGATAGGTAACTTTGATTGGTGATATATATATATATATATATATATATATATATATATATATATGAAATTTTCCAAAATGATTTTGGCCAATTGAAATTTAAAGTTAGGCTGCTTTAAATTAAATAACTGATGTTCACTAGTTCTAGGTCATTGCTAAGTAAACTATGTACTACATAGTACTGAACATAAGATTAACCTTACATATTTTTATTGTGATATTGTTTAAAGAAACTAAATAAAGTTGAATCTGTTCATAAACATGTTATTTTTACCATACTGAAAAATTTATCCCTAGAAATGTATAGAATAAAGCATTGCCAAATACACTATCATATTGTAGACTCCTGAATTGTAGCAATACACAACTTCCTACTTTTCTCTTATGTCCATAAAAGATTATTACTGGTGCCTAAAATTATCAATGGATATAAATTAAATTGCTATAATTAGTAAAATAACAATGCTGCCTGAAAAGTATGTAACTAAAGTGAAATGTTTTCTGGTGAGGCTAAAAACGATAGGATGTTTTTCAAAGAAGAAAGTATGTAATTCTAACATAAAGTAGAAAGGCTGGACGATCTAAAAAGGAAAAAGCTGGTATGAACATTTAAAAAATAGCAAATTCAATAAGGGAATCTTAGTAAAGAAATTTTTGTATAGCGAATATTTAAGTGGACTTATTCATTTGTAAAAAAATCAACTTTAATCTCAAAAATTGATAAATAGAAGGCCAAAATAACAAAGATCTCAATCATTGATCTGCTCTTAATTGTGAAACTGCTTTACTTTTTAAGTCAGTTTCTCCAGGCAACCAAGATTTTGTAGATTAATACCTTTCTATATATTTGTTATTAAACTGCAGTATGGGCCTGGGCATATAGCTCAGCAGCATAGCTCTTGCCTGGCAAGCACAAGGTCATGAGTTTGGTTCCTGGTTAAGAAACAAAAAAAATCTGCACTATTCTCCTGATTTTTACAGAAAAACAGAAATTCTCACTTTCAAAAAATATATATTCTTTGGTCTTAATATTATTTTTCCATAATTAAATTCTGAATGAAATCTTCCTATTTTTGAGCTGAAGTCAAGATATCCTAGAGGGATCCAGAAAAGTTTCAACATATCTTTTTGTATTTTTGTTTTCATGTGTAAAGAGAGATATTAGATAATAATTTGATTCATTTGACATGATAATCTGAATGGGTAACACTGTCAGGTAAGTGATACCTAACCTTGTGTAGGTTATATTTGTACGATCATATAAGAAATTTTACAAGGTTCCCAGAAATTCATTAAGAATGATGCTTGTTATTTAAGATAAGCTACAATATAATTCTGTCAAATATCATTTACTTATTACTTTCATGTGCATCACAATAACAAGCCATGTTTCTTTTTCAAATAGTCTCATCAGATGTCTAGAAGGTGACAGCTTCATGGA